GGAAACGCAGGAAACACGACCCCAAAAACCTACCGGCCGGGCGCGGAGGGGGAAGATGTGCCCAGGCCGCCGCAGGTCCTGGGCGCGGGTGGCGGGGTTTCCCAGCGCGCGCAGCGTGATGCCGCGCTCCTCGGCCGAGATGCCGGTGGTGATGCCGTGCCGCGCGTCCACGGTCACCGTGAAGGCGGTGTACAACCCCTCCTCGTTCTCCGCGCTGTGCACCATGAGCGGCAGGCGGAGGCGGTCCAGGTCCGCGCCGCGCATGCCCACGCACACCACGCCGCTGGTGTGGCGCACCAGGAAGGCGGTGGCGCGCGTGGTGATGCGGTCCGCGGCGCCGATCAGGTCGCCCTCATTCTCGCGGTCCTCCGAGTCCAGCACCAGCACCAGCTCCCCCGCGGCGATGGCCGCAAGCGCGGCGGCGATGGAGGCGAAGCCGGGGGTGGGCGTCTCCAGGTCGGAAGCGGGGAGGGCGGCCAGGGACGCGCCCACCGCGCCGGAGGCCAGGCCCTCGGGCGGCGCCGCTGTCACAGCAGCTGCCTCAGCTTCTGGGCTGGAGGTGGCCCGGAACCCGGAGCAGGGGCGGGGGCGGGGGTGGGCACGCTGCCTGGAAGGGGTCGAGGCGCAGTGTGAGGGGCGGCACGGTGGTAGTGTCGCCCCGCGCAGGCCATGGGCTGTGGAGGGGGACGAGCTGGCCACCGCCAGTGGTCTCCGGCACGGCACTACAGCCGCCATGGGGACCGCAGGAGCTGGGGACCAAGCGAGGACGAGGGCGTGCCAGGACGGTACGAAACTGTCGTGTGGTGGGGAGTGTGGAGGCCCCCTCCCCCATGCTCCGTGCCTAAGTAGATGCGGTTCCCGTCACCCGGTCCTCGTCATTACGTAAGCCCTGCGCGTCGCGCTACTGCGGGACGACCCGTGGTACTGACGGGCATGCTGGGCCCCGGGGCCCTGCCCCGTCACACTCCCGATCAGGCAGGCGGGGTACCTCCTCCCCTGCCCCTTCCACTTCTCCCGTGCCGGCATCCCATCCTCCCACTCCTGCTCGATACGCCCTCAGACACCGGCGCCTCCCAGCCGCCCCATCACCACCGCGAGCTTGGCGGGGGAGCCAGCATGGCCAGTTCCGCGGGCATCAGCTTTGCCCAGGCGGCGCAGAAGGAGCAGAAGAAGGCGGAGCTGGTGAGCGTGCAGGTCGAGGGCCAGGTCATCCTCAAAATCGCCAAGCACTGCCGGGAGCACGCCAGCGGGTCCTCCGTGGTCACGGGACAGCTGCTGGGCCTGGACGTGGGTCAGACGCTGGAGGTCACAGACTGCTTCCCCTTCCCGGTGGGTGGAGGGGGTTGGACTGTGTGGAGGGGGGAGGCTGGGAGGGGGCAGCAGGCCTCGGGAGTCTGCCGGGCCCCTTTTTGTGAATGCGCGCAGAGTGAGGGATGCCCGCCCCTCTCGTCGCATGCCCCTCCTGCAATGTACACGAATAGATCAGCTGTCGAGCGGGCAGTGTGCTGCAGGGTCGGCAATGCCTCGTGCTGTTTCCACCCATCAGTGGCCAGTGCTGATGATCCTTGCGGCGCATCCCGCGCGGCCCCCACCCCGCCGCCGTCCAGCTACCCCGCCCAGCCCCCCCCGCCCCACCTCCCACCCCTCCAGGGCAACGTGGGCGACGAGGAGGCGGAGACCTCCAACGAGGGCGAGGGCTATCAGCTGGAGATGATGCGCTGCCTGCGGGAGGTTAATGTGGACAACAATATGGTGGGCTGGTACCAGTCCACCGTCTCCGGCTCCTACCAGGTGGTGGAGATCATCGAGACGTTTGTCAACTACCTGGAGAACCTGGACCGCTGCATCTGTATGGTGTACGACACACTGGCGGCGGCTTCGGGGGGGCTGGGCCTGAAGGCGGTGCGCCTCACCGAGGCCTTCGTCAAGGCCTTCCGCGAGGGTGCGATGGGAGGTGGTGTGGGGGGGGGTTGGGGTATGCCGCACCGGCGCTCCTCCAGCTGCCTCATCAGCGCCTGATCGGACGCAGGGTGTGAGCTGGGACGTGGACGGGCCTGTGTGGGATCCTTGTTGCCATCGCCCGCCGCCCCGCGGCTCCTCACCTCCCCCACTACCACCCCTGTACTCCTCCACATGCGCAAGCACCCACAATTCCCCCCCAAACCATCACCCCCTGGCAGGAACGCTGACGGTCGAGAAGGTGCGCACCTCCAACCTGTCCTGGCAGTCCATCTTCCAGGAGATCCCCATTACCGTGCACAACACGCCGCTGGCGGTAGCGCTGGCGGCCGCCATCACGCCTGTCGCGCACCTGAGCGCGCGCGACGCGGCGCGCCTGACGCTGGCCTCCGCGCCGGTGCTGGAGCGCAACGTGGAGTTCCTGAACGACTGCCTGGACGACGTGGGCGTGGAGCAGGGGAAGCTGGGCGCCCACCACGGCGCGGTGCGGCGGCAGCAGCAGGCGGCGGCAGCGTGGCGCGCGGCGCGGCGCCAGGAGAACACCACGCGGCGGACGGCGGGGGAGGAGATGCTGGGGGAGGAGCCGCCGGAGGGCATGTTCAAGCCGCCGCCAGAGCCGTCGGCGCTGGACGGCATGCTCCTGCTCAAGCAGATGACCAGCTACTGCGACGCGGTCGGGTCCACCTCCGCCCAGGCCATCCAGCGCCTGGTCATCGCGGAGGGCCTGCAGCGCAGGCCTTGAGGAGTGGCCGTGTGTGTGTGACTTGGTCGTGCCTGGTGAAGACCGGGGAAGGTCCACCGAGGGCCGTGCTTGCTGTAAGGCTCACCCGGACAGCGATCAGGAGGGGGTGGGTGGGGCGATGACGAGGCCCCATGGGGGGCCCTCCGCTCCGACACCTGACGGAAGAAGTCCTCGCTGCGTCGCCTTCTCGCCGTGTCACGGCCGCGTGGCGCGTTACAACTCATAAAAGGCCTCGATCACTTCGCGCAATACCAGGTGGGACACGGCTGAGGTGGGGCCAGCTTCCTGCCTATCCCGAGCAGTGTGCCAGGAGGTGATACCAGTGGACTCATGCGTCGGGGCCGGCCCAGCTCGCTCGGCTGAGATCCGTAGATAGAATCGGGACAGACTATCATTCAATCGACATGGGGACGGACCTGCACGCTGGGCGGGCGGACCACTCCGTCGATCCCCTGAGCCATGGGGAGGCCAGGGGTTCCCTGGACGACCCGCCCCCCTACGAGTCCATCATCATGGGCACGGCCAGGGTGAGAGGCATGGTTTGGAGGGGCGATCTGTGCGCTGATCGATAGCCCGCCCTTGCTGGTAACCTCAACACAGAGACCACCACCACTGCTAATTCCACTTTGCAGGATGAGCCGGCCAGCAGGGGTCCTGATGTTGCTGGGAAGCAGGTGAGCTTTGAATGAAGGGGACTTCGGTGCTGGAGGTTGGCTGCTGAGGTCGATTCATCCATCCCAGCCGCCCCACCTCTTCGTCCTGTAGCCGCTGGAGGCAGCCATCACCGTCTTTGTCACCGATCCAGTTCGCCAGCTGGAGGGGGTGCGGGTGAGGCACATGCGAGCCTTGGGATGTGTGCGGGAAGCCTACCGCTGTGCGGAAGATATACGGTTTCGGAATTCGCTGGGCACTGCGCACAATGGTCCACCATTCTCTGTGCCAGTCCCCTTGCGTGAAGGTGATGTGCCCTTGGCCCTGATTCCTCACATGGAGCCCACCCACGCCACCTCACAGTCGTTCGTGTCGTACCGCGTCACGTACCGCCCTGCCTCAGGCCCCGGCTCCTCCGTCCACCCCGCGGGCGTCATCCGGCGCTTCAGCGACTTTGACTGGCTGAAGAAGCAGCTCCGGGCCAACCACCGGGGTGGGTAGGATGGCTTGGATGAGGGCTTTGTGGCAGTGTGATCACAGAGCAGCTTCACATGAGCGGAGCTCTGCAGGGCAACGCCAGGTTTTGGGGGTTTCCAAGCCCTCGCCATGGCCCAACCCTTGCTCTGCTGCGTGGCTGCCTTCCTGTCTTGTGGCTGCTCATCGTTGCCCTGCGCCCACTCAGCCTCGCATGCGCCCCCCTCCCTCTCATTGGCCCAGGCTGCATCGTCCCCCCCCTGCCCGAGAAGAACGTGGTCGAAAAGTACAAGCTGACCGACGAGTTCATCGAGCAGCGGCGCGCCGCGCTGGCGGTGTTCATGAATCGCCTGGCGGCGCACCCGGTGCTGCGACACTCCCCCGCCTTCCAGCTGTTCCTGGACGCCGACGAGGCGGGGTTTGCGCGCGAGGTGGCGCGCACCGCCGGCGAGGCCGGCGGCGCAGGCGTGCTGGCGGCGGCCGCCTC